TAAATATCAAATGAAGTTTCCAGGGTTGATTTCTATTTTGAAATCGAGTTGTGATAATTTAGTGCTTTGATCGCAGAAAACATTGATGTGTGTGAGGCTACTAGGTCCGACTGGCCGCGTGATGAATGCGGTGACGTTGTTTAGAATTTATTTAACGTACTGGGCTACCGTTAGACGTGCGTGGACAAAGACATCAGTTTTAGATACCAGCCGAAGTCCCCATGCGTATTTCTCAGGTCACAACCATAGACCATAATTGTTAAGTGTTTTTGTGAAATCGTAGTTCGTATAAGTAATTCGGCATAACACTGTTTGCATCCGTAGATTAGAATGCGCACTGGACCACGACTGAGGGGTCCCCATACAAACTCTTTTACAAATATGAATGGCTGACAGAAAAAAAACGTCTAAATACAAGGAAATCATCGCAAAAGTTAATATAAGGCGCAAAAAGGAACTGCAGTTTTTACAGTTTCGGGACAGGAGGCTACTGACAGGCACTCACCGTCCGAGTGAACTGTCTTTCCGCAGAAAAAAACTATTTGACTACTACGCAGTCCGACTTAGGAGATGTCCAAAACGAACTTGGGGATACATGAGTTCACAAGTGTGGACTCAGCGCCATTCACTGGATTAAGAATGAATCTAGGAGACAAAAATGGCGGAATGGACGCGGTGTTTCACAAAGACAACTCACGATTTCCCAGACGTTATCAGCAACAACGCTTATCGTCTGAAAATTGAGGCTATTCTTATCATTTCCAGCCGACAAAGCAGCAGGGATCAAATCGACCGATTGGCTGTCAGACAGATAAGGGAGGGATATGCACTATTGACGACAATGAGCCTCAGAGGTAGTTGCTGGCGTAATTCAAGCTACCTATATTAAATAAGTAGACACGCAATAAGAATAATAGTTCTAGAGGTACCTACTCGTCCTCTAGGAATCGATTTAGTCACTGGAAAACAATAAGGGATGAACGGTGCATCAAATTTATGATCCATACTTAGTGGTGGATGCATCCGTCCTCTCTGCTTGGCTCTCGGCCTGGATGCAGCGTTGTGGACTTTGGGGAATGGTCGTTGAGGAGCCCCGACGTAAAAAGATATCGTGGGAGAGTGCCGCGGTTAGCCAAGGCAGAGAAAATGTCGGCGGAGTTCAGCGCTTGGTGATTGATCATCCTCAGTGACTAACAGTTACACCGATCCCATCCTGGTTTCTTGCCATCCTTGCGTTGTGCATAACAATATGCCAACACCGCCTAAGTGCATAGAAGATTTACTGATCTCTGTGCGTGATAATCAACTATCGTGCAGGGTAGTTTGTTGCATCCTGAAAGAATTCCCTTGTTCCGGGCGTGTGGTTTTAAAATTTTGCGGCACGCTGAGGAAGAAAAATACGTTTATCCCGGGCACTTTCCAGCGTGACAACTCATTTTTTCAGGCGAAATTTAGAATATGCAACTGCGGTAAGTTTCTTGTCATTACTTATACAGTGAGTGACCGCTCTCATGAAATGTTGGCTGACATTCTGAAATGCGTTCTCACTTAGGAGCGATTACTTAGGCGAGGTTGTAATGCTGGCTATCATGCAGTACAGTCCTATAATATTTCGGACTTGGCAGGATGTCAGCTTTTGAATGCACGCTTTTTAATCTCCTGTATAAACCGAACTCGGTAAAAAGGGCAACTTAAGTAGCATGCGTTTTTCCTATTGATTTTCGATGGCATTAAAAAACTTAATGCATTTTATAGAAACCGCCAACAGACATATGTTTTGTTTGGTCGTTTGATAGAGACTCACGTCGTGTTCATATTTTCTACTCGAAGATAAGTATAAGAAGGTTTTTAAAAAGGATTCCTAATTTCAGACCAATTTGGAGCCTGATCAGTCTTTGGCCTAGCGCTTAGGGATTTTCCTCTACAAGATGCATGCGTTTCGCGTAAACAATATAACATATTCTTTCATGCCTTTCAAAAGATATTATATAGAGTTCATAACATTTTGCAATGGATGCGGACTGTGTGTATTTCGTGAGAAGCATTGGCAAACGGACAGGTAAGATGCTTTATGAATGGACGTTGGGCGGTCGTAAAATATCTCGTAATTTGAAACTTTTCTAAAACCCAATTATACTCCTTCCCTGGTTATAAAATCTGAGGGCACCTGAGATTAGCTCACTATCATGCAATGTTCAAGGCTATAGACTATGTCACTGAAGACCCTGTTGGGAACGGTGCGTAAAATATTCAACGTCAAATAACCTTCTTGTTATAATGTGGCCAGCAGCATATACATTTTGTATAACATTGGTTTTGAAAGTGCGCGACTGTAAACTAAACACCCTTAGATGTAGATAATAATCTATGATCAGGGATAATATTTAGCCGTATTAACAGGAGGTGCATAGAAATCATCGGCTTCGCGTAACTGAACTGTCCTGTCTGGTTAAGCAGTTGCTTTTCAACAGACTATACAGTCAGTGACCGATTTCATAAAACAGTGGTCGAAATTCTGAAATACGCTATAGCATAATCTCATAATAGTTCTGATTTGGCAGGATGCCGGTTCTGAATTCACTTCTTTTCAATTTCGGTATAAAAAATATTTACTTAAGTAGCATGCATTTTTTCCGCTGATTTAAGATGGTCTTATAGACTTAAATATATTTTATAAAGGCATAATATGCCCTCTTTTATCCCTTTTTAGAGACTTATGTCAACTTTATATTGCATACTCGAAGAAGGAATAAAATTAGGTTTTCAAAAAAGTTCTAATTATGAGATTTGTAAGACCGTGCAATGTCCATTCATGCATCATCGCATCCGTCCGTCTACCGCTGCCCTGTCCCCCAACTCGCTTGATAGAGAAGTACGTCGTCTTCATATTTTATACTCGAAGAAGGATTATAATTAGGTTCTAAAAAAGTTTCCCAACACCCAAATAATTTGCAGCCTGATTAACCATTGCATTGTCGCTTAGTTATTTCAGTCTGCAAGATGCATGCGTCCCACGCATGAAAAATCATTTAATCTTCTATGTCGTTAAAAGGATACTATATAGAGTCCATCAAATCTTTCGACGGATGCGGACTACGTTGTACGCTTCATGGGAAGCGATGGTGAACGGAGAGGTACAATGCTTGTGAATGGACATTGCGCGGTCTTAAAAAACGTCATTATTAAAAAGTTTACTCAAACCTAATTATGCTTCTTTTTCGAGTATGAAATATGAAGAAGGCATTTTCTATTAAACCAGTAAAAGAAACGATATTATTTCCATGTTTTTTATAAAATATATTTGATTTCATAAGACCATCGGAGATCAATTTGGAAAGTGCATGTTACTTAAGTAGTCCTTTTTTTACCGAATACGGTTTCTAAGGGAGTATGCTGCATGATAATCATCATTACAACCTCGCCTAAGTAATCCCTCCTAAACAAAAACGCATTATAGAATGTCAGTTAACATTTCATGACATCGGTCATACACTGTACATCGAGTCTTTGTTTAAATGTTTCTGTTGTGCCCGCCACTATCACTTTCTAGGTAACTTCGTTCCAAACGAGCTGTAAAAACGAGCATCTGCGAACATCCAGGTGAGATTGGGCTCCTCGAAGTTTCGAGGGAATTTCCGCGCAGGTTTGTTTTTCTAACCAATGCGAAAAAAGCGCCGAAATGCAGGACACACTACAGGTTTCTCAAAATTCGGTAAGTCTACAAGAGATCTCCTCGGATCGTCCTGTGCTCAAATGGCTTTAGGTTAAGTTTATTAATTCTGCATTGTAAAGATAGTGTCCTGCAGCATAAGATAACTTTGGCCGCCGTCCATTTAACCCTTTCCAGCAATTTATGGTCTTTTTTAGCCAAGGGAGCTATGCTTGCATCCCATGCTCCGCTGAAGAGCGAATAAAGGCTAGGCATACTTTTCCAAATTGCTCCTTATCTAGGCCTATGAAAGCACTATTAATGACGATGAGAACACTGGTTGCTCTTTTGGCCGCCCAAACCCACTGAGCGGAGGGCCTCAGAAATGGCAGAATGCTGATTCCAAGGTATTTTTTGTTCATCAAGATTTGAAAGATATCTCTTTTCAAGAAAGTATCAATGGTCCTCTACATTTGTCCACTTTGTCTTCGGTTTGATTTGCAGTGCGACACAATTCCCATAGTTACAATTAAGCAGTCATTTATCGGACCACTGACAAAGGCCGATAAGTCTTTTTTCAGGATCCGTTCGTCATTCATACGGTTGATCGTTCGCCAAAATTTGCTGTCATCCGCAAGCATGATTCCTTTCCAGTCCAGTCCATTTATACGGTCATTGTCATAAATTAAAAACAGTGCTGGTCCGAGCGCCAAGCCCTGGATTAATTCACTCAAAACTGGCGCGAGCGTTAATTTTTCACTGCCAGTACCAACCTACTGCGATCGGCCGGTCAAGAAGTCCTCTGCGCAGTTTTGTATGTCCCCCTTCATCCCAGACTTTCTGACCTTATGTAGTAATCTGCGGTGTGAAACGCTATTTAAGACACGTGACTGATTACCCTACGCAGGGAGGGGCTCAGCACCGAATATGGTGCCAAGGTGTCATTGTGCTTCTTGATGGATTGCAGACCTGAGAACCATGATTCAAACAGCTCACGACTAACGCGGTTGTCAGCTCTTTCGAGGATTTCGGCCTCTTAAAACTGGAAAATATGAGGGATAATCTGAGACGTCAGGTCAATAAACCTCTTGTTTTACTGATCGCATCTTCTTCTGAGCAGGGTAAGCAGTCACGTGGAAAGGGCGCGGACGCTCACCTACACCGCTGACAGCGGGCCAAATGGCCGAGTAATCATCACGTCACCAGAATATGGAGTGGGAATGTGGTTGCACTTGTTGATAGACTGAGGCCCCGTGAACCATGACTCAAGAAACTCGCGGCTCACGCGATTATCCCCTCTCGCGAGAATTTCGGCCTCATCGAACTTGAATGTGTGGCTGGGTCTCGTCGCATGGGCCGCGACCTGAGAGTTGGCCTCATTTCTCCGTACAGCTGCCACGTGTTCGGCGATTCGCGTCCGGAGCAGTCTTCCAGTTTCTCCGACGTAGTTGCTTTGTCCGCAACTGCACCAGATCCGGTAAACGACTCCAGATGTTTCTTGCCGTGGCAGTGGGTCTCTTGGTCTCATTACTTGACGCCTCATGGTGGCCTCCGGCCTGTGCGCAACTGTGTGCGTATCGGCAATTTGTTTGGGCGCGACGCGCTCCGATCGGCCCGACGATGGGAAACTTTCGCCTTTCGAGAGGCCTCTACTTACGCGCAGATCCGGTTTCTGCACAGGTGTCTCGATAACAACGTGTTGCCGAAGTGTGTTTCATGCAAACCTCCGGTAAACACGGAGCTAGCGAGACGCGCAGTATTTCAGCACGGAAGACGTATGATGCGCGTGCTCCTTCAAGATTGCCATGCGAGACTTCGCAAATACCGTCAGAGAATTGACCAAGAGAAGGCCAGATGCTGCGAGTTCATGGGCGAGAACGGCACAAATCTGCTTCAGCAGAAATTGACTGAACGAGCCCGCGAGCAGAGAGCGACACGCGATGCAGCACTGGGGAACAAATTCCACAAACTGCCTGATCCAACGTCATCCAGAGGCGGCACACTGGTACACAACCTGTCGTTAAAGGAACTGACGAAGGAGCAAGTACAGGTTTTACGGCACGAAGCCTCATTCAACACAGCTGACGCCAAACCTATCAACATGATTGCAGCAGTGGAATCGGTCATTAATCTGACGGAAGCGGCGGAGGAGACGAAGAACCTTATCCGACACCAAGTTTCGTCCCTCCTTATGACTCAAAAGCCGCGCGAAAAACTCACAAAGGTCCAACGCGATGCACTAAGAGAACTCAAGGCCGACAAGGACATTGTCATTGTGCCCCCGGACAAGGGGAGTTCCACCGTCGTACTGGACAGAACAGACTACTTTCAGAAGGCCAAAAACCTACTGGAGGATCGCCAGTTCTATGTTCCATGTGAAACCAACCCCGTAAAAACGCTGACATGCGAAATTAATGCAACACTGTTGGGACTGGATAAGTCGGATGCAATAACACCGACCGACCGACGCATGGCGGGAGCCCAAGAAACGGCCTTGGCCCGATTCTATGGTCTTCCAAAGGTGCACAAGGAGGGCGCTACTCTCCGGCCCATTCTATCGCTCCAAGGCACTCCAACGTACGGACTGGCAAAATGGCTGTTTCGGCGCCTCAAATTTCTGACCGCGGATTCGGACACCACTGTCTGTTCGTCAACGCAATTCCTGGAGAAGCTTAAAGAAGTAAGTCTTTTGCCAAATGAGGTCATGGTATCTTTTGATGTCACGTCCCTCTTTACTTCTATCCCCCAGGATCTGGCAATCGAGACCGTCCAGCTACTCCTACGAAACAAATACGATGAAACGGAGAATCGTCTCGGACACGCCCAAGTCCTTCAGCTCCTAAGGTTCTGTCTCAAGACGTACTTCACGTTTGACGGAACAATCTACGAGCAAGTGAAGGGAACACCAATGGGCTCGCCGATTTTGGGATTCATCGCCGAGGCGGTCCTACAGCGGTTGGAGTCGCTGGTCTTCCAACACCAACAGACCGGAATTCTGGGCTCGGTATTTGGACGATACCTTCGTCGTCATCGAACGGGACCAGGTGCTAACATTCAAAGAACGCCTCAACAGCGTCTTCCCGGACATACAATTTACGATGGAGGAGAAAGAGAATAACCAGCTGGCATTCTTTGATTTTCTCGTCTGTCGCAAAGATTGTGGTGGCCTAAAGACCAAAGTGTTCAGAAAAGCAACGAACACGACTCAAATTCTGAACTTCAACAGTAACCACCCAATCTGCCACAAACGCAGTTGCGTAGGAACGCTATTTCGGCGTGTTGAGACGCACTGCAGTGAACCGGAAGACAAGGTTGCCGAATCCCAATATCTTCGACGGGTTTTCCGAGAAAATGGTTACCCGCGCAACTTCGTCAACCGGTGCCTGCGCAAACGAGACGAGCGACAAAATCGCGCCGACCCCAAATTCTGGCGAGCGATCCCGTACATCAAGAACGTCTCCGAGGCCGTTAGTCGCCTTCTTGCACCACTTGGGGTTGGAGTTGCGCACAGACCGGAGGCCACCATGAGGCGTCAAGTAATGAGACCAAGAGACCCACTGCCACGGCAAGAAACATCTGGAGTCGTTTACCGGATCTGGTGCGGTTGCGGACAAAGCAACTACGTCGGAGAAACTGGAAGACTGCTCCGGACGCGAATCGCCGAACACGTGGCAGCTGTACGGAGAAATGAGGCCAACTCTCAGGTCGCGGCCCATTCGACGAGACCCGGCCACACATTCAAGTTCGATGAGGCCGAAATTCTCGCGAGAGGGGATAATCGCGTGAGCCGCGAGTTGCTTGGGTCATGGTTCACGGGGCCTCAGTCTATCAACAAGTTCAACGACATTCCCACTCCATATTCTGTGCTGAGGCATAGACTGGCCAAAGCAATTGGCCACTCGAGGAGCGCGCAAGCCGGTGAGCCAGATGGCCGAGCAATCATCACGCCAGCATCCAACACGGGTGATGAGATGTTAGCAATTAACAACTTGCATGCCGGCCATCAAGCAATTAGCGCACCAGCGGGCAACAATTCTTGATGAAGGGAGCACGGTTAATTGCTGTAGGTATGCGGTAGCATGGCGACTGCATCCAATAAATACAGCGACTTCCTGTACACGAGCCACCCTTTTCTGCAACTGTCTCTGATGATGGATTCAAGTGAGAATCCGAAACGTCAGGCAAATAAAGCCATTGTTCCGGCGATCGCTTCTGGAAACATGTATGTTAATCAAGTAGTCATTTTTATTAAGTACGGTCTCTACAGGCGACTGGAAACCTGTGTATTCAAGAGCTGGCATCCTGCCAAGTCCGATATATTATAGGAATATACCGTATGGTAATCATTATAACAACTGCGCCTAAGTAATCCTTCCTAATTTAAAACTCATTTCAGAATGTCAGCCAACACTTCATGAGATCGGCCACTCACTGTACTTTGTTGGCTGTTTAATTTTTGCTGCCCTGCCCTTCTCTATATTACTGTTATGGTCTACTGATGAATAATCGAAAGCGTGCGTTTGGCGGACTTGACTTATGCAATAATTTACCGTACAGGTATTAGCTTAGAGCTCAGTCACGCGTGTTTCGCCAATCTTATGCCGCTGTCTGATGCAGCTGCGAGGGTTTCGGCTCGTCAGTGGGTCCCCCAGCTTTCCCCATGTGTTTTCTAGTGTACAAACTCCAGTTTTAACTTGTCTTATTTAATTTCTGAGAAAACCAATGTGTGAACTTGGAGTAACTCTTTTGATGCAGGTCTTTTCAGGCACGGTCCAAAGTCTGATATGAATATTTGAGCTGAAATCCATCAGCAACTGCGAAATAACCGCTTAATATTCACAAACCGCCAACAGGCAGCCAGTAGTATAGAATTGTGCTCGGGAACCCATTGACCAACCGAAACCCTCCCAGCTGCGTCAAGCGGCGGCATAAGATCGGCGAAACCCGCGTGTCTGGGCTTTTATCAAATACCTGTGTTGTTGGTACGGTAAATCATTGCACAATTCTATACTACTGGCTGCCTGTTGGCGGTTTGTAAATATTAAGCGGTTATTCACCAGCTGCTGATGGATTTCAGCTCAAATATTCATATCAAACTTCGGACCGGACCTGAATAGGTCTGTTTTGAAAGAGTTACTCTACGGTCGCGCATTAGTTTCCTCGGAAATTAAACAAGGACTTGACTTATTTATCTAATTTTATCATTTGGTAGGAAATTTGATTAAATTGCCTTTAAAAATGAAATTAGACGTTATAATTGCAGAATTTCCAGATAGCAGTTTTTACAATCAATAAAACGACTTCGCATGGAGAGATGAAAGCTTGATAATTCTTCCGTTTATTCAGCTGTTTCCTCACAGTCCGTTATCACCGCGGCGGTTTGATTTTAGACTTGAAATTCGCGGAGCGTATCACATCTCTTGGTGAAGGCTCGCTGTAGAAAATCACGAAGAATGGCGCCAGTATCGAGGCGACCTTTATGATAGCGAAGAATGTGCACATCGTTAGGCGTTCTTTGGTCTCCGTCAATTTGAATAAACAGAGGGATTTTGTTGCATCTCCCAAACACCCCTTTGAATCGTAGTTTTTCGCTAGGAAAAATTGTCTTGATGATCGCATCAGCGCCATTCGACTTAATGTAATGCAATGCAATATTAAATTAATAACGCGCTGCAGTAATACCTACTGTTAGTTAAAAAAAAACGTCCTCGATATGAGCGCGATTTGTCGTTTACTGTCTATATTGCGGGAAAATCGCTATTACATATTTCCAAGTGCAAAAATGAACGACCAGACAGAAAAGGTCAGACTACGTAATCAGTAATTTAAACCTACTTTTTTGTCGAACAAGGTCCCTAAAATACGAAGCCCCAATTGTCGTATTGAAGGTGTAAGAACCTTCACCATACTAATGCTCATAATGTCAGACTCGTCATTTTTCTTACCTGTGCCACCCCGCAAGCCTAATTTGTTATGGAAGGTGAAACAGCAAACGCCTGTATACAAGTATGCCTCCGATGTAACTGAAGGGCATCATATTTGCGCAGATACTACACGCAAATCTAGGCAAGTCGATTTTGCAAAATGCACGCCCAATACAGCTCATGTTGTATTTAACATTGATTGAGTGGTGTGTATTTAGTAAAAAAAGCGTATCATAGCCCGTACTGGTATTGGGATCTAAGTGCTTGAGATGGTTGCTTGAATAAAACACAAAACACTACTGTCCTTTAAGAGAGCAGTAAGTGATCATCTCGGAAACTGGGTTTTTCAACTGTCCCCGTAAGTTTCCTTCGGCCAAAAAGCGCAGCTACTGATGCCAAATCGTGCGCCTTTTTAAAACAACACTTGATTGTGTTGTATCATGCTTTGTGCTTTAGTTTACGGAGATGTATTTATTTTTAATAAATGCCAACGTTATTTTTTGATTTCGCGTTCTAGTAAATTAATTTGTAACTTGCTTTCAGTGAACGAACGTGATAATATGCAGGGAGGCCTTTTCAGTAGAACTGACAGTAAATTTTAGAGTAGTTTGTATGGCAACAAGCAAGTTAGACAAATTATATGATATTTAAATTGGCTGGCAAAATTATTAATTGTAGAACAGGCAGAGACTCTTCCGGAAGATTTCAACTTCCAACCTAAATATGAGGCGTGCAATGAAGCCACATATTCATCTTTCATGTAGACTCAAGAATCCCTTCAATAAATACCATAATACTAAAACTGAAGTCTGGCAATATGCCCAAAATAGGGACGTCAGCTGAAATCCCGTCCTCAGTCATATAAATTTTGACAATCGTAAATCAAAAGATCCCCTTTCTTAGAATGTATGCCGACGGAAATTCAACCCTCTTTTTACTGTAATCGGGCAAATGGCGAACTATTTAGATGTCAAAAGGTGTACATGAGACTTTAAAAAATTCAGGCAAATCTAAGAACCTACTGAAATAACCCAATGTATTCTTAGATGATTTGGCAGTAGCTGACATGATATTTTGTTTTCAGACTTCTCGCAAATGACATCTTCAGCAAGCACATTCTGAAGCAGTAGACGATGTGACCGCTCGTCATTCAGATATAGTGATTTCCCATTTAACAACAGTGCAATTTTCATTTCAATGACACTATTGGGTAGGCCGTCGTCATATTGGGAACCTAAAACAGAACAAACGCGTAAAAGCAGTTATGCACCTCAGAATGAAAAACACTCGGGACAGTACCAGCAAATCCCCGAAAGCAGATGAGAAGTTATAAAGAGGATCGCCGGAGCAAGAACTTTATTCGCCTGACGTTTCAGATTCATCCTCCAACCCATCGTCCGAGACAGCATCAGATATCGGTAATTCATGCATCAGAGGTCCTACTATTCATAGTAAGAGGTCGCTATGCTACCAGGTAATATCAAAATTAACGACACTGTCCATTATCGTGGACGGTTGCCTTTGGCACTATAGTTGCCTTATGGCCGACATTCGATTAGATAAGCACCCCATTTTCATCGCCCTTGTTGGATGTTGGCGTCGCCATTTTACACACCTACGCGGGATCTCAAAGTTGTATTTGTTTGCGCGCCCCCTGTGTGGTTAATTACTCTGGCAAGACTGCGTTTAAACACTGGATATGCAGAAGGGAGGACATTCCACTCACTAGTGAATTAGTGGCCAGTGAACCATGACTCTTGTATCTCGCGACCTGTGCGAATATCATCTATCGCAAGAATTCCAGCCCTTTCAAGTTTTGATACGTGGTTGGGTCCCATCGAATCAGTAGAAATTGGGAGGCTGGCGTCATTTCTCCTCACTTCTGCCGCGTGTTCAGTATCCGAGTCTAGAGCAATCCTCCAGTTTATCCGACGTAGTTGCTTTATTCGCCAGACAGAGTTCTAGAATTAAAATGGCTTCAAAGGATGCTAAGAACAAAATGGCTACCTGTGGGACTTAGTCAACCAGTGCATACACGAACGAGACGAGAGTCCACATCGCACTTACCTCAAAAACTCCGGCGAGCACTTTTATGCGTCAAGAACGTTTCAGATGTCATCAGTCACCTCCTCGCACCACTTGGATTTGGAATTGCACACAGACCGGAAGCACCTATCGGGCGACAGGCAGTTAAGCCATAAGATCCCCTGACAGGCGGCGTTTATCGGATCTGGTATAGTTGCGGGCAAGGCAACTACGTCAGAGAAACTGAAAGACTGCTTCAAATGCCTTACGATAATCATATTCTGATGGAAATTGTTGTACGGTCGCCACTTCACGTTGTTGACGGATCACAAACCATTGCTGTCAATCTTCGGTTCGAAGAAGGGCATTCCCGTCTACTCAGCCAGCCGACTTCAGCGATGGGCAACCATCCTTCTTGGCTACGATTTCGACATTCGCTACTGTCGTACTACAGACTTTGGTCAGGCTGACGCCCTTTCTCGCCTCATCAGCAATCAGCAGGAACCGGAGGAAGATACCGTGATTGCAGCTATTTCGATTGAGGACGGTGTGCGCCGTCAGCTATCAGACGCCATACGAGGTATCCCCGTCACTGCCGCGGACATCCGACGTGCTACTGAACAGGATCCTGTCCTCCGCCAGGCCATCACCTACGTGCAGACCTGCTGGCCAACCACTGCTCTCGCTGGCGATCTTCGCCAGCTCTTCCTCCGCCGAGCATCGCTATCTGTGGTTGACTCCTGCCTCATGTTTGCAGACCGTGTGGTGATCCCATCTTCCCTTCGACCCACTGTACTACGCCATATTCCATGCGGCTCATCCTGGTACCAGCCGAATGAAGTCTATTGCTCGCAGTTTTGCCTACTGGCCGGGTATCGACGGCGACATCGACGACCTGGTTCGACGCTGTTCTCGATGTCAGCAAGCTGCCAAAATGCCGCCTCGTCAACCTCCAATACCCTGGCAACCACCGGAGAGGCCTTGGTCACGCGTGCATATCGACTTCGCTGGTCCACTTAACGGAGTCTCCTACCTAATCTTGGTCGACGCCTACTCGAAGTGGCCCAAGATTGCTCCGCTTAATCCAGCGACCGCATCTTCCACTATCGCCTTCCTACGACGCATCTTTAGCCAACATGGCTTACCAGAAGTCCTGGTTTCAGATAATGGCTCTCAGTTTACTTCGTCGTCGTTTGAGGATTTCTGCCGCCAACACAACATCCAGCATCTTTGCTCCCCGCCCTACCATCCTCAGTCTAACGGTCAGGCGGAACGTTTTGTCGACACGTTTAAGAGAGCCCTCTTGAAAGCTCGTGGGGAGGGGACCACGGACGAGATAGTCCAGGCATTCCTGTTTTCCTACAGGACAACACCGAACCCGGCGTCCCCTGGTGGCGTTTCTCCTGCCGAAGCGTTGATGGGCTGGAAACTGCGTACAACTTTTCATGCCCTCGTCCCTACCGGTGCGCAGCCCGCGCAGACTTCTCCAGTTTCTCGCAGCAAGCTCTCCATCGGAACACCTGTCTTTGTTCGTGATTATCGAGCGGGGTTCCCAGACTGGATTGAAGCAACCGTAGTATCGCACAGAGGCAGCATATTGTTTGACGTCGACGTTGGTGATGAAATCTGGGTTCGTCACCACAACCAGATCCGACGGCGACATTGCAGTAACACAACTGGGCTCGATCCGGCGCCGTCACTCCCCCTTGACATCCTACTGGATATCTTCGCCATTCCGGCAGATCGGTCGGTTCCTGAACCCACTGCTGCGCTTCCTTCGGATGTACCGCCTTCGGTATCAGTCACTGCCCCCGGGTCTCCAGACAACAAACCACAACTAAGACGCCGGACCAACCGCGTGCGCCGATCAACACTGCCGATGCAGATCAATCCACGTCAAAAGCGGTACTGACCCACTTGGAGGGGAGGTGTTGGGAGTGCCTACACTCCCAAAAACAAGAGTAAAACCAGTCAATGGAGATCACGTGCGTTTGCTCTCTCTCTACCGCGCTGTCATCTCAGTCAGGAGCTTCCCATTGGCTACTCCCCTCTTCCCGAAGGTCATTGGACCGAGTGTCGGCGAACCACGCTAGCGTGTGATAAATATGCGTCACCCTTAGCTAGACTTGACTTGCTGAAACGTGTTTGCTAATACACGTTCTGTGGCCAGCCGTGTGTTCTTGGTCTGCTGCCTTGATATTGGGGACCAGGGTCGAGTGCGCATACGCTCCACGGGATTTCAAGTACCAGGCGGGTCATAACAGAAATATTATAAGATTCACTCCAAATAACGTTTCTATACACGCTCCATACATGCGTATTAGCATCAGTTAGGGCACTGAATGGGGCAATAAAAGAGACCTATTACAACATTGTCCAGGTGTGTCCGAGCACCTTCTTGTAAACTACAAACTAAACATCAACAGGTTGGTGAAGTGCGTTATTGCTCAAGTTCTCCCAACTTGAGTCCTAGGCAAAAACGCAGAAGCTGCATGTACAGTTTGGTCCGGACTGTTTGTTAGGTCAAAATAGCATTTCGATTTTAGCATTACTTTCAATACTATTCCGTAGATGGGCTTACTAGCACAACCATTTTATCGCGAATCATGTATTGCAGCTTATTATCAACAAAGCATTACTTCTCACATTCACTAATTCAGCTGCGGTGATGTATTGAAATCCCGATTAAAAGTAACTGATCTCATTCTAACCATTTTTAATCAATTTGTACTCCGTTCCCGCCAACTGCGTGGGCTTCAGTCTTCAGCGTTTTCCGAACACAAAACATCACGCTTAGGAACTCAGTTGTGTCTTATCTGAATCATTTCCTGAGAGGAGGCAGGAGCCTGAGCGTCCGGAGCGTCAGACAAATAAAGATCATAGCCAAGCGACCGTGTCTGCCACCTTCTAACTTGGTCAAAATTATTACCGTAGTTTTTATCTAGTCCGCAGTCGAAATAACTTACCTTGTAGCGATCCACGTCCGTGGGCGTCGCCATGAGCACTTATTCACGCGATTTGCTTAGATACTTTCAGCGACTTCGCTGCCTGAATCCTCCACGAATTGGCACAATCACGAAAAATGCTCAATACCAATCGACACTGCGTCCTTTGCTGAATGCTTGCAGGTTGAGACAGCCAAGGAGGACGCATGCGCTAGGGATCTCGACGCATTATACTCGCTCTTAGAGACTCCTCGCTTCTTCGGCCTACCTAAAGCCAGTCCTATAAGTCGGACTACCCTGACTGTTGCTTTGGGAGCTCTGGCGTCGGCGTCCATCCTCCACGGCCACATCAGAGGCCTCGGATGAGTGGAGGCCGTCCACGCGATCGCGCATGGTTGACTGAGCCCCCTATGCTCTTCCAGCTTGTGCATTCATCCGATGCCATGACATTCTGTTTAACTAATGAAATGTTGCCTTGCAATGATCAAACACTATTGACTTTCGTTGAACAGTGTTGCGCTACCATGTATGAACCGTAAATAAGAGCCATATCGGTGCAGTGTTTCTGGTAGCAAACTCGCTTAACAGCGTTTTGAAGCACATGCTGTAAATAACGATGGCTTTAGCCGCAACATGTCTTCGCACTTGGGTTTCGCACGCAATTCGTAATCCACCTACAAGTCCGTGCTACATAAACGCTGAATTTGTATGTTTTTCTCCAAAACAACTAGTGGGTGTCTCAGTTTGGTAAAAAAAAGTATTAACATATTTCGGCAACGACGACTCTGAGTGAACATGTTTCGGAAGAAGGTGGCTCAGTTGAACAAACGATGAAGAACTTACTCAGTTTGTATACTGCTTGTGGTTGTGACCAATGGTCAATATAACAGGCATAAATTGCGAATTCGCCCCCAGATAAGAGGGGATCAATTGAATATTGAATCGAAGTTCGTCCATATTCAATAGCTATTAAACAAAGAGGAGGCGACATGTTTAGGAAACGGTATTAAGACTGGTTAGATAACGCGAACTTTTCAGTAATGTATGCAAGAAAGTAGGAGTAGAATGACAGTCTTCGGTAATTTATTTCCCCTGGATATAATAATTCCCGGGTTTCGGGCAGGCATATCGAGGAATATGCCTAAACATGGACATAAATGCATAAAGTTTTACAGGTTACTGTAGTATAGTCACATGACAATGGAGACGTTATGTATGCTGTAAACTAAGCACGCACCACACTTCCCGGGCTCATTTGTTATTGTACTGCCAGAACAGTGAATTCCATTTGGACTCTGACACTCAAAGCCCTGCAAAAATATGGTAAAATCCGACAACCAAAAAGTAAGCGCATAGTGTTTTGATGATAAAAAGGTAATCTGATATAAACCTACATTGGTCGTAAACCTGAGTTTCTTAAAATGATACTGACTGCCGTTTTTATTCCGACAACAAGCGGGGAGCCTATTAATCACTAGGCGTTCAGCAGACGTAAGTGCTGTATATGATGTCTGTAGACACGTTGGACCCCTGCTTACACGCAGGAAGTGACGGAGATACAATAAGTGGGTTAACTCATGAAATCGCAACAGAAATTCCGAAAGGCGTTTCCGTTTTGGGAAGATTAATTAGGTAGGGTTGTAAAACCAATCATCGTACAACATAATTCTGTACTAATTCAGTTACCTCAGGATGCCGACTTTTGAATAAACTTCTTTTCGGTTACATTTAAAAATAATTCTAAGTAGAAAATGACTACTTAATTAGCAAGCATTTTTTCATTGACTGTCGATGCCCTTAAGAATTTAATTATATTTTATAGAAAACCTGCATAAAAATGTTCATTCTTTTACTGATTCAGTAAAAACTTACGTCTTCTTTCAAATGTATAATCGAACGAAGGGTATAATTCAGTTTTCAAAAAATGTCTGATTGTGCGCTGTTTTAATGCCGTGAAATGGCCCTTCGTAAAGCGTCGTGTCTCTGCATTTACCAATGTGGCTTGTAAAGTTACCACTGTGGCTCAAATCCACTGCTTAACTGTATGAACCCCATATAATCTCCTCTTATTACAGTAGAGAAATGCATGGTTTCCGTACGCGGAAATTATACGGCTTGAAATTTGTGGCCCCACTGAATCACAAAAGAATGAATATTTTTAGGAAATATAATTTCATATTTAAGAACATCGAAAATCAAGGACAAAATGCATGCTAATTAAATAGTAATTTTTTACAGAATATTGTTTTTAAATTTAGCCGGAATGAAGTTTATTCAAAGGCCGGTATCCTGAGGTAATTGAAACATTATAGAACTATTTTGTACGATAATACTTTTACAACCCAGCTTAATTAATCTTGTCGAAACGGAAACGCATTTCGGAATTTCGGTTGTTATTTCGTGAGTTAGCCCGCCTATTGTAGTTAGTACCTGCGTTGTCATTTAGGTAAAGAAGTACACAATTGTATCAACATCCGGACCATGACTGAAAATATCAGTTCGAAAGAGTTTACTCCAAATTCGTACATTAACTTCCTTAGAAATTAAACAAGACAAAATAAGATTTTGATTTAAAACATTATCTTCAATAACAAACCATCAGCTCGGAATCTTTCCTATTACGCACAAATGCATGCTGGGCATTGGTGCCTTCCAATAGCAGCAATCTGCCGCCACTTTAGGTTTGCGTGTTACTATGCCCTTGCAGTAATTTGGTTTGGTCGATAATAATTTTATGCGGGTGAATTATGCCAAACAATTCATTAGCAGGCTTCGGTAATTAAGGGCTTGGTAACGGCTGCATAACGAAAAACGGCTTACTTCAACCTGATCTGGTGTAGAGGTGACAAATTGCCAGTCTAGTTTGATGCTGTCCACATCCGGATCCACAATACGGTTCAGCGGCTCGCCGGTATTCTCAAATGTTGCGGCGTCTGGTTTGTAAACGAAAGCATCGTCGAGAAAAGAAATTCCGGTTTAAATAAATAGTATATTAAGTACTTCAGTAGTAGCGGAAATGTGAGTCTAGACTGATATATCACAAGAAGAAGAGGTGTTCACCGAGGGGGGGGGTTTATTGAAGATCCGAAATTTCGAGTCGTTGATTCGTCTACCAGCTTCATAAACTGGAAATTCCTACGCACAACTTCCCTTATATGGCGCATTCTGCCAATAGAAGCGAAGAAGAGTGTCCAAGGAAGTAGCCTTGAAGAAGGAGACACGATCACTGGGACAAGAGCTTTATTAGCCTGACGTTTCGGATTCCTGTTCAAACCCATCATCAGAGACAAACCGTATCTGCTGTTGTCTCTGATGATGGGTTCGAGATGGAATCCGAAACCTCAGGCTAATAAAGCTCTTGTCCCAGCGATCGCGTCTCCTTCTTCATGGCACACTTTATTCAATGCGTGACCCGCCAATGCTGTCTGTGTGGCTGCATCCAACCCGCATGTCACCGTGACCTGAATCGTCCCCGTCGGTCGGAGAGCAGCCTGACGACCCCGATTGTCCCGCACCGTGACTGTCCCCCCTTAAGAAGATTCGTAAAGTCAGATAGGGGGAAGGGGGAGGCAAATTGCTGTAGCGGTTGACAGAGCAGTCGGTGGACATCCAGGCTTATTGCATTTGCCGTACAGTTTGATCACCGCCCCGGCCCCCAATCTCAACGGCATCAAAGTAGAAGATGTGTCCCATTTGCGCGGCATGGATTGCTACCTGAGACTTGGGGTCCAACTTTCGCACGGCCAACTTATGCTCGTGCATTCACGTTTGCAGCCGTCGGTCGGTTTCCCCAACGTAGTTGCACATTCCGCAGCTGCACTGAGGTCGGTAGACAACGGCCGACATCTCCTGCTTAGGGATCAGATCTTTTCGCCGAATGAGAGGATGGTGTCTTTGAACGTCGTCTCACTCTTCACGTCCATACCACAGGCCCTTGCGGTGGAAGCGGTCAGTGACCTGCTACGTC